GGGCAAAAAAAAAAAAAAAACTGAAGACAAAGAGGGTTCATGGGAATTTATAAAATGAATGAATAAATTCAAAAAGTGAAGACAAAGAACCCCGCCTGGAAATATTATTTTTAAAAGTACATTAAAAAAGGTGAAGACAAAGAAGGTCGCATGGGAACGTTCGAAAAAAATTAAACATGAATCACCATGAGAGAAGACAATTGGATTGGATTTCCAATGACATCTCTTGATTTAAAATGAAGGCAAGAGCGCATTCAATGCCGCCCTCCCAAAAAACCAAACAAGACGCTCAAATGAAGACAACCGGCGCGCGCTGCCTCAATGTCACCCCCGACATAAAGAAAAAAAAACATAATGTCAAATGACTGGACCACCAAAACGGTGATGCGTTCAATGCCACACCACCAAAACTAAACACAAGAACATCAACAGAACAGAAAGCCGGCGCGCGTTGCATTCACTGTCACGCCACAAAAAAGGGACCCAAACCAAATGAAACAGCCGAAGGAGAAAGGATGAATATGCTTACCTGATGCCTATGTGCGATTTCTAAATGCTATTTTGGGGGGTATTCTTTTTTTCTATTATTTTGTAGAGCTAAACAAAGCCAAAGAAAAAGTCCCTCTTTGTCCTCTAGTGTCGAGACTGAGACGTGAGCGTCTACCAAAAACCGGGTCCTCCTTATAAGCTTCTCTCTGTGAACTTTGTCTCCTCCGGTTTGGGGGGGCCGGAGTGATACCATCGCGAGTGGAAAATCACCGGGCCTCCCTCCCCTCCTCCACCTTCCTCCCGCTATCCTCCTCCTCCTCCTCCTCCTCCTCTTCCTCACCGAGCAACAGGAGAGGGGCGACGCGTTCGTGGTTTCGCGGAATCCCGATCGTTCGCGCGACAGGCTCTCGTGTTTGATGGCATGAAATTGTGATTTACGAGGTGCCACTGAACGCTGCATTCAGGAGCCGAGATGCTGCCGCTGCATCACCGCCAAGGTAGCAGGTGCACGGAGACAAAAAAGGGACAAAAATGCTCTAAATGACCATGAAAATTCGACAAAATTTTATTCTTGGCCATTTCCGTATGCAAATGTGATGGCTGACTATAAAAATGTACAAAAGGCAACTTTGCCTTCAGAGTACAATTTAATTTCGCTACCGTGAGATATTTGCCAAGCAAAGTTGTGGTTTCCCTCGAAAATGAAAACGTAATTAATATCACTATTTAGTCACAAAAGTGCAATAAATGGGTACCATGACATGGGTGACAACACAAGCAACAAAGTGCAACAATATATTGCCCAAAAACTGTAGCATACAGCACAGGTACATAAAAAATACAAAATAAAAAAAGATACATAATATAACAAAGTTAGGGTTAGGCCAAACAAAAAAGGTAACATGAAATTTCAGCATTGGCTCGGTAGGTCGGACAAAGTTTTTTTTTTGACACCTCGAGATGGCACACTCCGTTATACACTGGCCATTTGTTGAAACCATCTAGGAGTCAAAACAACTGGTTCAGGAAGCAAATTTGAAGCTTCATTTTCCCATCACTCGTTTGCAACAAAAACAACTACAACAATAAACAAGGACATGCTTCGTGCAAGCAAACATCAAATTATAAAAGCCAGAGAAACACACTACATAGCTACAGCTTCCACATATATTCACTTTTTGAATGAAAGAATTCCAATTTCACTTTTGACATTACCCTGAATGAGTTTAGATTGTCTTAAAATATGCTTTAACTTTTTTGAAGAGACATTTGTTAATAAAGAAATTTCATGACCCATATTCATGACATGTATTGTATTGACTTTGTACAGGTTGGCGCAGTATTTGCTTCCACATTCATTGCTTAGCCAAATGATCAAAGTGCCGCAGTTGAAGCAGCAACATGGAGTACGCTGGAGACTAGAAATATGCCCCGTTGGTCGCGTCTCAAGATCGACCCATTTACCGCTGTAATTCAGAACATTTCCTTTGCATAGGAACCTCCCAAGTAGCGCCTCGCAACTTGGCTCGTACCTGAGGTGTTCATTGGGTGTTTTTGCGTTATTTTGCATTTGACAATGCTACGCAAGTTCACTTGGCAAGGGAAGCCAATTTTAGTTGCATATCAAATTGCACATTTAGTACATAAAATCATTTACAACACAATTCAACGCGCTTTACGGAAAACATGAAAAGCATTGGAGAAAGAGCAACAAAATATTAAGACTTACCAAAAATCACATTAAATCCTCTAAAATAAGTGCACGTCAGACTATTGCAGTAAACGCTGATGTTTCCGCCCTCATTGAAATGACGTGTGTGTGTTTGAGCAGACCTCGGGTATTCTGGGAGCTTGTTCCACAGGTGAGGAGCATAGCAAAATATAACCGCCTTCAACTTTTCTTTCGTTTTGGTTCTGTGGACAAACAATAGACCTGTCCCAGCCGACCTGAGGGGTCTGGTTGCAAGTCCATTTTGGTCCAAAACCATTTTAGACCATCAGCAAGATTTCAAATCTATTGTTTAACTCACATGAAGCCAGTGTAGTGATTTGGGGAACTGGGCTGTAATGTTGATTGGATGTTTTTGCTCTGAACGTTTGCATGTTAAAAAAAAACAAAAAAAAAAAACTCGCGGGTTGAAAACAGACCATTTACGCTCATTGTCTTAGAATGGGGTGTTCTGATTTTAACTTTCCGGTGTAGCTGCTTGAAAGGTTACTTTACCTGTCTTTATGGTTACCTCTCAACCTACCGAAAGATGTTGGATGACGTGCCAGCGGTTCTGGAAGCAGTGCCACAAACAATTTTCACGTTGCAAAGTGTTCCGTGTACTTTTCCAAATAAACTCCTTATCTTTTTTTTTTGGAAAAGAAACTTCACTGACGAGTTAGCCGACGTTTTTTTTTCTTTTTTCTAACTTTTGGGTGAGAAGCGTCTCGAGTCATCTTCATCTCGTCTCGGCGTGCAGGGGGCGTGGCACTCCAGACGTCACCTGCCTTCCGCCTTTCCCTCTGATGATCACAGTAGTACTGGTTCTGGTCTAAACCGGTCTTGGTCAAAAATCCGGAGCCTGCCCTGTTCCATGAGGGTGTCAAGACAATGTAAAAAAAGGCCTTCGATTACGAGAGGTGACCGAGGCTGTGACCAAATTTACAGGCTCAGTCCTGCGAACGCCTCGTGTTCGGTGGCCTGACGTCAGTTCCGGCGCGACTCCACCGCAAGTGTTGTCTGAATTCACGTGAAGCCTGTCCGAATTCGCCACGGTTTATACGGTGCGCAGAATCTACACGAGGAGCAGCTGTACATTAAACAAGAATGGGAATTTAAAAAAAAAAAAAAATCCACCATAAAAAGTTTCCAAACATGAATGTTGTTAAAAAGAAAACGGTGACGTAACACATACTTTGGAAGGTGTTGCAGCTATAAAATTCTAAGTTCATGATTATTTGCTAAATAACAATAAAGATTATCCGTTTGAACATGAAATAGCTTATCTTTGGGGTGTATTCAATTAAGTAGAGCAGAGGTGCCAAACTCATTTTTTGTCGCGGGCCACTTCGGAGTTATGGCTTCCCTCAGAGCGCCGGTGCAAAATCTCAGTGTTATTTATTACCCATGACAATTTGACATTTTGGTACAGATTTCAGCAAGAATCATGAAAGTCGACACATATGATTTGCTCCCGCGGGCCACATAAAATGATGTGGGGGGGGGGGGGCCGGACCTGGCCCCCGGGCCTTGAATTTGACACCGGTGAAGTAGAGGTTGAACATGATAGGTTGCAAATCACCATATTCTGTTTTCATTTACGTTTAACACAACATCCCACCGTCATCAGAATTGGGTTAGTGTATATATAAAACACACACACACACACACACACACACACACACACACACACACACACACACACACACACACACACATGCACGCACACAGATAGATAGATAGATAGATAGATAGATAGATAGATAGATAGATAGATAGATAGATAGATAGATAGATAGATAGATAGATAGATAGATAGATGTCTTCATTTGCACATTTGGTGTATTGGAGTTATGCAAAAGTGATTAAAAGTAATTCACGTACATTATTTTCACAAAATGGTACTTGGATTACTTTACTAACTACATTTCATAACAGGTAACTAGTAACTTTATCATAACAAAATTTGAACGTAACCCTCCTGACCCCGTCAGAAAAACAAATACCAAAACAGCCCAGTGTCATTCATTTGGCTAACCCGCACACTACCTATGCAACAAATCAGCCAAGGCAACAAATTCAACAATTCTATCCTAACAGACGCAAAACAAACCTCGAGAATTCCAATGAGTCACAAACGCAAGCACACACTGCAAAACAAGCGGAAAAACGCTGCCCAGAACCACGTACTCTCCACCGTGCTCCAGTAGCTCACCTGGGGCCTATCCCAGCCGTCTTCGGGCAGTTGGCGGGGTTCACCCCGAACCGGTCGCCAGCCAATCGCAGGGCACACAGATACGAAACAACCATCCGCACTCACAATCACACCGAGGGACAATTTTGAGTGTTCCATGAACCTGCCATGCATGTTTTGGGAATGTGGGAGTTTTCTGACACTAAGCCACGGAGAAGTTTTTTGTTTTTTTTTTGACAGTGAAGCGTTTTGGACGATCCCCATAAAATGACGGCTTCGGGAGCTTGAGTAGTTTTAGAATTCTGGTCATGCCAGTGTTAAGGTGCAATGAGCCGAGTGTCACTCATTTCCCTAATACGCTCGACTCTCCGTGCAGCTCATCAACATAACCATCTACCTGTTGCAAAACGTTCCTTTCTACCACAAAAACACACACACACACACACACGCGCACACGCACGCTTATTGCGTTCAGATACTCTTTTAATCTGATAAATACATACATATAACCAAGTCTATTCTTTTTTGTGTGAGTCGACTTTAGCAACACTATGGCAACATACTGTTGTCATCGCATGCCCGTCTAGTGATTTTTTTGTTTTTTTTTTTCCTTTCAGGAAGAAGACAAACCCGCCAACGGTTTCTTATCTGGTGTCCTTGATTGACCTTGAGCAGAGTCTTCTGTTGTTTTTAAAACACCGCTTTGCGCACGCCCTGCACGGCACACATACAAAACAAACCGATGCAAAGTCAGCTTTGACGGAGCGCGTTTGTTGGTCCGTGCGGCAAGACGGACCCCGTCAAAAGGCTACACAGGTCCAGAATGCCGCTGCTCGCCTCTTGACCGGTACTCGTAAGAGGGAGCGCATAACTCCTACTCTGGCATCCCTTCACTGGCTGCCCATACATTTTAGAGTTATTTTCAAGATCCTATTATTTGTTTTCAAATCTCGAAATGTCCTCTCCGAGCTCATCCGCCCCTACACACCTGCCCGGCGCCTCAGGTCTGCGGACCAAACTTTATTAGAAGTACCAAGAACTAAACTGAGGCTCAGAGTGGATGGAGCCTTTTCCATTGCTGGTCCCTCGCAATCGGCAGGCCTCCTTGCTGGCTGCCCATCTTTAAAAGCCGCCTCAAAACTCACTTGTATTCTTTGGCATTTTGACTCAACATGATCTTAGTTATACTGTTTGGTGCTCTCTACCGTCTTTGATACTGATTTGTTGCTTTGCTTGACTGTTGTATATGTTAGTTGCTCCATGTACAGCACTTTGTGTGCAGCGATGGCTGTTTGAAAGTGCTCAAGAACGACGACAAAGAAGAGAAATGCTGAAAACCAGCAAAGACTGTGAATTGTGTAGTTTTTTTCTCCATTATTAGAGATCTCGAGTTTT